TGCGAGGTGGCGGCTGCACCAGAGGCCCCTTCCCCAGCGCAGGCCATGGCCCCTCCGCTTGGCCACGAGCACGCCGTGACACCCGCCCTCACACCGGGTGGGCCGGAGGATGCTTTTGCCGCAGTTGGCCGGGCTCTTTCATCACAGCAGAACGACCCTCAGAACGGTTGCTTCTCATCTTTGGAGGCGGCCTTGAAGCCATTTCCAGAGCAGAGATCTTCAGGGTCGTTACAAGCCGTGGTGCTGTGGATCCCTTGCTGCTGTTGCACCGCAGTGACTAACCATGCTTTTAGCTCAGCAACGTGCAGTGCTAACAGGGGAGTTTGAAAGCAGCCGGGCAGATTTTCAGGGAGTACAAATCCACTATTGTACAGCTTTTACACAGCACCATCCCCATAAAGACAATTTACCTTTTACGCAAACGCTAAAGCTTTGTTACTCCGTGCAAGGGGAACTGATGTCTGTGACCAAAAAAGCCATTACCACAAAGGCCTTAATTTAGGAAAGGAGAACTCAGTTCACACCTCTCTCTGCCGGAGTTTTGGTGTGGTGTTAGACAGATCGCTCAGCCTCTCTCGTCACCAGAAAAGCAGATAAAAGCAGCTTCTTGGCAAACTAGACTGCAAACTCTTTGGGACAGAGACTTTGCTTTTAGCTGTGGTCACAGCCTGTCACAGTTTGGCCCTATTACTTGTCTGGGAAACGCAGACACCAAAAAAATACAAAAATAATACGAAAACCTATAATTAACTGCTTGGAAAAAGTCAGGATTGTGATGAACTCATACTGGTTCTAAAAATTACTACATATTTATAAAATTCAGAGGTTTGACCCTATGAGTGCCCTGGTTTTGACAGGCTACAAGATCATGACCCCCACTTTATTTTACAGCTCAGCCTGGGACCAGATAAAATGGTGATCGACCTCACAGATCCAAATCGCCCCCGCTTCACATTGCAGGAGCTGCAAGATGTATTGCAAGAGCGTAACCAGCTGAAAGCTCAGCTTCTTGTGGTGCAAGAGGAGCTACAGTGCTATAAGAGGTACATCGTGAAGTCAGCAAAGAATTAATAACAATTCTTGTCTGGGGAACTCACCAGATCAGAGTCTTGCAGATCTGAGCACCCAGGCTGGGCTAGGCACCATCCAGACAGAGAGACATCTGTGCTCCCAAGAGCCTACAAATGAGCAAAGAAAAATGGGGGAATGATAAAATCTCTATGCAACATAATTTAAAAATTAAACTCCCTCTTATTCTGCACAGTTCGCAGCCTGTTCCTGTAACGGTACCGCTGTCAGCCTACGTACGGTTCCTCCCTCTCCACATACAAGCTGGGTTCTCATTAGTTCATCTATGCAGTCACAGCAGCTGCGCACATACTGTTCTTGTCTAAGGCCACGCTACGTACCAAAGAGCATGGGGGTTTCCATCTCAGCTTTAGTCAAAATTTCCTTCTTCCTCCAGCCTGCTGTCGTGGACGCTAGCTTATCTGCTCTTCCTTTGCTCCCACGGTGGGTATGGCACTGATCTAGAAAGCAGAATATTAAGCCCTTTCATCATCATTCAAGATAAGCTATGGGGTTTTTATTTAATGACTGCCAACAGAGGGTTGTGTAAGGCACTTGAACTGTCCAAAAAAAGTGTTTTCAGAGAAGGGTTTTGTTTTTTCTAGAAGGGACCAGGCTGGGAGAATCAGTGTGAGCCAAAGGGTGGTATGCAGGAAAGGCCTTGCTCTTGGTGCTACGAATTCCTTCACCTCCAAGGCTGGTCTCCACCAACCTCTGCCCCTCGCCATCAGGTTGTATTATAAATTCTTTGGGGCAAGAAACTACTTCTTACTCTAGACACAAAATGTCTGAGCACATTATATTTCAGCTGAGATATCTCAGCAACAACCTCTTGGGCACGGTGAGCCCACCCTTTGCCTTGTCTGTAACAGGCAGGTTAAGCCGAGAAGTTAAAGTTAAATCCAAGAAGTCAGCTTACAAACTGCTCGATGGCACTTCTCCCAGCGCAGCCAGGCGCTGCTTCCCCAGCTCGGCTGCCTGCCTTTGCTGTGTGGCCATTGGAGTGGCTTCTTGCTTTGATTTCCCAGCCGTGTTACACAGCTTATTACAGGCCAAGTTAAAAATTAACAGTGTGAATGTTTTATATTTTTGTGTGATTTAAGTCACAGTGCCATGCACCTAGAGAGCACATCAAGGCTACTTTGCAGTTCAAGTAATTCTGTGTGGTTATCTCCTTGTACAGCGTTACAGCTTAAGCCAAAAACCATCTTCCCTTTAAACATTCACATAAAATCCTGATTATAATGGTACGGCCATAAAGAGTAGTTGTGCAGGGGAAGGGGATAAATACGAGTGTATGTTCTAAAATGTCTTGTGTGTATTGGAAATAAGCTCTATATAGCACAAGGTAACTGAGATCCTCACAGAGAATGGCATGAAATGACTGATGATGTTTAGGGGTTGCATTTTTCATCATGACTTCTGACTAGAAGTTACCGTGCAGGTATTGGAGGTCTGTAGTGTCACCAAACAGCTCATAGTCCCGTTTCTCTAGGAGGAGAATCTACCTCAGAATTACCCCATGCCTGGTGTCACACCAGTTTCTAGATACTCTCCTGTATTTTTATTTCCAAACTCCGGGGGGGTGTTGCTTAGCTACTTTCAGCCTTCAGCTACTGCAGTCACAAGCTTTGATCCAATGAGGTCAGGTCAGGACAGTAAATTGGCATGCTGTGAAAACACAGCGTAGCATGCAAGCTGGTAAAATCTAACCCGATTCCGAGCAGGGGGGACGTCCTTTGGTAAAACCGAAGCTTTTACCTAAAGTAGGCGGTTACAACCTTGTAGAGTGTAGCAGCATCAAAGTAGGATGACAAAATCTACAGCTCAGGCAAAGCCTTTCCGTTCTCCTCCAAAGAATGGGAAGAGGAACAGCCACTCGCCTTGCAGGGAAGGTGGGAATCTCCCATCTGTTCCCAGCTGCGTGGTGTGAGCCTTCGTGGCTGCACTGAAGGTACCACAGATCCATCCATGCAGAAATTGGCCATTTGCATCTGCACCCTGCTGTTATCTTTGGATATCCAACATGTAATTACACTTCCCTTTCACTCTTGTGAGGATTTGCCATTCTTCCTCTCTGGAGAAGTCAGCTCGTTACTTTTTTAGCATTCTCATTAAAGCATAGCCCAAGCAAAATGACATTGCAGTGTTAAAGGAAAATAAGAGCAAAGCATTACAAGAAACAGGCCAGGCTGCCATACCTGTCCTGCGAGCGCCCATCACCCACGTCCTAGGCTGCCCAGTGAAGGGTTTAACATAGACAGCAATGCCCCGCTATGCACAAAACCACAAAAAATAAACAAACCCACTTCTTTTCCCAGTGGGATCATCTCACAGAGAAGGGACCAAACTGAAGAACTGGAAAAAGCAGCCAGTGGCAGCAGCCCTGGCACCAGCAAGGACAGCGAAGAGAAGACAATCATCAAGCGGCTGTAAGTTTGTCTGCATTTTTTTGGCAGAATATGGGAGAACATGGCATGCTTCATACTTAGTGAGTCCAGGGATGAATTCTGAACTCTGGCCTAGTTGGCTGGATATTGTTTTCTCCTCCTTTCCCTATAAAATTAAAATGCAACAGAGAAATACTTCCTTGTGGAAAAAGCCCTCCCCGGGAAGGCCACCTCCACCCAGGCAAGCAGGGTGTCACTTTTTTTCTAGGAAAAATAAGCATTTCAGAGCAAAGCTTCACAATACTTGCCTCCCCTGCTAGCACATTAAGACTCTGCTGTGGGAACATGCCAGCTGTCTCTGGGGGTTTGTTTACATTGTATGAAGCAGCTGTATGCAATACCCACAAGCTCAGGCTGTGTCCCTAAAGTTCCCCAAAATAGCAGAACACATTGACACAGCCGTCTCGCTGCATGTTCCTTCTTTTCCAGTTGTACATTATTGTTTCCTTTTTGTTGTCTTTTTTTATTCTAGGTTCTCTTTTAAACATGGAAAATGAGTATCCTCAAGAACTTGACCACTCTTGTTCAGAAACAGCACTGATGAGAGCCTCTAAGGCGCTAGGGGAGTCAACGACGAAGAAAAAGCATCACTCCTACTGTAGAGAATAAGCAATCTCATAAAATCATGTTGTATAATACTCCTTCAGAACAGATTTTACTTTGCTGTTTTAGATACTGTTTTAAGACCAACACTTTTTGTATTTCTTAGATTCTGGCCAGACATTACCCACACGTAGAGAATAAATGTTTATACAAAAGTGATTTTTATTCTTATTAAAAGAGCCTGTGATGATCTGTACTACCACTTTTTTATCCTGTCCACCTAACAAAATGCTCAGCCCAAATGATTTTGCAAGATGAAGGTATTTTTAAGAGATGCACACCCTTCACAAGTGCACTCCTAGAGAAGCACTGGGAAGGAAGAACCCCTTCAGATTGCAGTCCTCACTGCTCTTACGCAGAAAGTAATTATCTTACACTAACACAGAACTGCTCAAAGAAGACCCCAGCATTGCTTTTTGTTCTGTGTCTTTCTTTGCATTAGACGGGCGCTACACAGGCAGAAGCCCACCACACCCCACCCCACCAAAAGAAGATGGGGTTGGGCTATGAGAGCAGGACCCAGGGGCTCACACAGGAGTGGCCCAGGGTCAAGACGAGAGACAGCAGAGAAGAGCACAGCAGGGGAAGAAAAGCTGCTGCATCGTGCTCTGCCCACGTGAAGGACCGATGCCTTTTCAGAGGCGCAGACATGCTCAAACTGGAACAGATGCACCAAACATTTAATTTCTGACAGCTAAAGGTCTCCTGTGGTAGACAGCTGTGTTTTTCATAAGCTCTGTTCTTGCAGTCAGCTGTCACAAGCTGTGCATTAGCCCAAGTAATGAGATTTATCGCTAGTGGAAGCATATAGGGCAAACAGAGGAATAGAAAAGCAGCTTGAAATATACCAATTAGGTGCCACATTTAGAAAAGTAGAATTTCAAGAGCAGAAAGGTCTGAGCAGACATAAAAGGAGCAGTGACAGGTATCAAGCTGTGATCTCACTCTCTTCAGAAGTGAAAGCAGGCTCTGAAATCTTTTGATTCCCTCTTATACACCAGCAGCATGAAAAATACAGGACACTTCACACATCTGCTTGGATGCACAATGCGAACATGGCTTAGCGGAAAGCAGAACTGCAGTCTCCTTTCAGAGAGGATTTGTTACCGACTGCACGTTAGCAACGTAACATCAAGGACATTTGGCCTAAGCAAGTTGGTTTAGCCAGGGCACAGAACTGAAGTCATTCTGCCATCTTCAAAATATTAATAAGCCTTGGCCATGTCCCTGCAATGTATTTCCAGAGCATGGTAGCAGGGAAGGAAGTTACTGCATTTCCTTAGCAGAGGCTTTGTGTTTGGGGGCGGGGAGAAAAACAATCATGCATCAGCAAGAGCCAGGATACACCTCTGAGCTGAAAAGAGATGGTTATGTGCACTCTGAACTCCATCCTCTTCCGTGATTTATCCAGGGATGTATTTTCCAATCTGCTTTAAAAAAAAAAAAGGGGGGAGGGGGTAGGGGGAGAATTATGCCCCCAAACACACTAAGTCTGAATGAAACAACTTCAGGTAATAAACTGCACAGATTGAACAGAGCTGTGCAAGAGTAACAACCTGCCACAGAGGCACGGAAGACTGACATAGCCCTAGGCCACTCTGCAGTTAGTTGAAGGAGACAATAATGAAAGCTGCAATTATTCTTTTTAGTTTACCATTTCAGATGTTACTACAAAAAAAAGTGGGAGTTCACCAGTTAAAGCAGATGGGAAAGCACCTCAGCCTTTTTGGGCTATTCATTTTCTGGAACTATCACAGCTGCATCCACTCTGGTGCCACATGAGCTGCAGAGCTGCTCTCTCAAAAGGGGAGCAAATTCCTTGGCTAGGGCTACACAAGAAGAGGCTACAAAGTCCTGTTAGAGCAACCCCACTGCCTCCGGCAAAGCCATGGGAGCCTGGCAAAAGCAGTTTAGCTAAAGTGCTTTACACCTTGTTAGAAGATGAAACTTTCCTATAAGGCACACAGAGATAGAAATCCAAACAGCATGTTTCTGTGAAAAGTATTTTGATATATGTGAGAGAGAGATATATCGGTTCCTAGAAAAGTAAAGGATACATACACAGTGCAACATCAGCTTTATTACCATCTTCCGATGCAGTGCTACTCGATTACCAGTTAAGCGTTTCAGAGAAGACAATTTTCCTTTTATGCAAAGCAGGGAGAGAGATCTTCCCCCTTTCTTGTTTACAAAAGTGATGCTGAAAGAACAGAGGTTTTAAGCTGTTTGACCTGATGGAGAACAAGCAAATGTTTAAATAAAAAAAAAGCATTTTATTCCAATTTTGACTTAAGGGAAGTGCTCTAGTAAAACAGGATACTGTACACACTGCTGTAGTCTCTGTAACAGAGACCAGAGAAAAATCAGTGCTAACACTATTAAGTGAGCCAGCAAAGCTTACCTGTAACTCAGCATGTGTAAGGTAACAGGTCTCCAGTTAATTCTTCAGAAAAGGTGAAAACACACAGGCTGTCTCTGATGAGCTTGCCTTGTGTTAAATGGTAAATAATATAAAGCATTTAATGGCTAACGATTTTCACAGCTTTCTTTCAAAATGCTAATGATCTGCAATGGAGACAGGTACTATAGCAGCCACTTCATCAATAATAAATATATTCTTTATTTTACAGAGACATTGTCTTCAAGTTTTTAATTTAAAAAATACATCACTACACCACCTCTCTTGCTGCTGGAGCATACAACCAGGATGTTGTTGCTATTTTACCTATCACATAGGCAAGCACTAAGATTGTCCTAGAGGGCATTAGCTGGAACAGCAGCAGCCTTCAAGACATGAGGAACAGAAGACATTAACAGAGCCACAGATCCCTTGCTGACATCTTCCAGCAGCAAGTGTGGCTGATGGCTCACAGCCATTTTCATCTACACACGTGCCAAGCGGGCCTTGGCAAAAATTCCAACTGGTAAGAATTCATCTTTAACATAAAGGACCTGCATTGTATTGCCTGCCTATATCACAGATTTGGTTCTCCAACAGTAACATTATGAACATCCGCAAGATGCTAAGCACTCAACTCCCATTTAAGACAGTGGGACCAGACCATGCTGGACAGACCTACAGGACCAGGCAATAAGGAATCTACTTTCTTCATTGCATGAACTCCATCATTACAGTTTGAAGCTGCATATGAAGATGACTCCTATTTTTGGAACCGCTATGCTCTACTTCAAGCATTCACAGTAAATAAATAGCTTCCAATGTGGCTAATTAGCATAGGAAGGTAATAAAAGTTTTGGAGAGAATTTTTTCTTTTACTTCTTTAAAATCCTCTGGGAGACACCTCCAGGAATCAGCCATCAACTATAAAAAGGTACCATCTTACATTTTAGAAAATAAGTCGTGTCAAACATTGATTCTCATTGTGAAGTTTTATCTTCACATTTCAAATCAGCATCAACCCAGTCTATCAAAATCCATCTTCATTTGGCTTGGAGTCATTTCTCTGAAGAAAGCAGCCAATTTGACCATCCCTTTCCCTCTGCACCAGTGCATTTAAAGTTCATTGCCAACATGAGATACGACACTGGAAAAACTGGATCCCTACCACAAATTATTTGAGAATGATAGTAGCATCCATCTCAGAAGCCTGTCAGCACTGGGTTGCAAAAAGCAGTCTGACAAGCAGTCAAGCCATTGGATGTACGAGTCAGAGTACAGAAGTACATCTGCTGTCATAAAGCTAATGCCAAGTTCATCACCCCCCAACGTGGAGCATGAGATTTCATTGCAAAAGCAGAAGCACAACTCAAGTGATTAAGTTTCTGTGCAAGTCTTTGACTGCATGCTCAAGTGGCACTGGTCACTATATAGATGTATTCAAATTTTAGGGTTTCCTTTTATGATATAAAAGTTTTGGCAATCTAAGATCGATTATTCAAGCCTGCCTGGAAAACTGTAATAGGTATTTAAATACTGCAAAGCAGAAAGGTAGTTTTTAAGGAGCTCAGAACACCATAAGCAGTCCACTAAGAAAGCTGAGGGAAGTGAGGACAAGAAAAAAAAAAAAAAATCCACTGACTCCTTGTAGATCACTCAGTCCAAAAAAAAAACCACCCAAGCAAAGATGAATTAGTGTTTCAGCCATGGATGAGCTTCAATGGAAGCTTTGCTTCTGTCTCCATAGTCATACAACAGTTCTTCACCTGCTTTAATGTCTCTGGAAGCTATCAGTATGAGATGAGGCACACCATCGATGTCATGAAGCTTTGTTTGACAATTGCCACATTTGCTGTGATTAATCAGTCTTCCTAGACGATTAGTTTCTTTTGTAGCATCAACACTGAAAAAGTAAGAACAGAATGCAGGATTGCTGTATATCACGCTGTAACGTTTGTGGACCAAAACCAAGGTGCAAATCAGAAAAAGAATGAGGAATCCACACAAGACTTGAAAAATGAAGAAAAACCAGAACATTACAGAATATTCATATGACTAACACAGACAGCACATAATATGTCAGTGTAGGTAAACTAAAGCAATTCTGGGAGATCAAGTTAGCACAAAACCCAGAAAATGGAAAATTTTGGACTATGTTTTTGAGCTGCCTGGTTCCAAGCAGCTCTCAACTGTTCATAAGGAATGGCAGATCCCAGATATAGACCACCACCAGAAAGGCTTCGATACCTTAAATACCCTCCCCTCAAGAAATCTGTGTCCAAGCCAAGTAGTAAGTAAGCCTGAGTAAGCCAGCAAGGGTCTCTACTCACATGGAAGGCTGAGAATGACTAAATACTACATGCCCAACTTCTAGAGACCTGGATACTAAAGCGCCAGTGCCCCTCATTACACAAAGAGTTATGGCAGCTGTCATTATGGCTTCTAGACTGCAAGTCAGACACTTAGAATATAGGGTGCTTCAAGGTAATTAATACACAGGTTAAGTGACCCATACTACAGTATCCAGTGACATCAGCCAAGGAAGGAAGAACATAGTCTGAGTAGTTGCTTCAAGGAAACCTGAGTTTGGGACAAATGACACAGCAAACAGAGGGATAAAGCAAGCACATGGGGTGGGTATCAGGTACTAGAGAAGAAGGACACCCAGTCAAAGACAGTTGAAGGAAATGTTTCTCTTCTGGAGAGTTTGTCCATACTGCTTTTCAAACAAAATCCTTACAACTCGGGAAAACTAGTTAATTTTACAAGAGAATAAATTTAAGCAGAAGTCCATGGCAGAGCTTGAAGTCTCATCCAAGCAGATGCAACTCTTCATATAGCTTATGCTGTACTTCAGACAACAGGGCTTTGAGTCACCTACAGTTTCTTTTAGCCCAGAGGTACAGGAGGCTCTTGGAACATGAAAGAGCGCTCCAAAAAGATTTCCTAATTCATGGTTCCCATTAAAAATTTTTTTTGCATGGAAACAGGAAAAGACTTAACAGCATTCAAAGCCTCTATTGCTCAGCTATCACACTTCAGGGAAGAGAAGCTTACCAGTATGTTTTGCTGAGGTACTGAAAATAGTACATATAGCAGCCTGTGGATGGATCTTGAGCGTACACAGCTTCTCTCTTTTTAGCATCAGTGATCTCTATGAGATCCCCATGATATTCAACTACAAATTCTCCTCGATTAAAATGTTTAGTAGCAATTACTCCTCTCCCTTTGCCATCGATGTAATCAATCTGTTGAGTTGAAAAGAAAAATCAGCTGGAAAATGAAAAAGTATTTACATGACTGCAAATAAGCTGTTTCCTAGGAAATGAGTGATTTGTCATTTAAAAAATGCTACAGCAGGGTATTTGTGTATTGCAGACAAAGCTGTAGAAGCACAACGCACAGCACTGTGGAAGAAATACAGGAAGAGTTTGGGACACACCCTATGAGTTACCAGGTATTTTGATACAAAGTCTTCTAATCAAAGAACTAAGAATTACTTTAAATAAACCATACACAGAGAAGAGTTATCTATTTTTTTTTCTTTTAAACTACCTATTAGCTGAGGCAGTAAGCTTTTCCATTTCAGGTTCCCCATCACCATTAGCATGCACAGGTTAAAAAGTTAGAGGATCAGAAAGATCAATCACAGAAATTACAGTTATCACCCAGCAGTATACTTTATTATTCCTGCCTCCCCTTAAATTGGACAACTCCAAGAAAGTTCTCCTATCACTGTCGTAGATGTGACAGTGTTAACTACAGGCTGCTCCTTTTCAAGAATTGCAGCTCTTCTGCACTTCCAGGAGCCATTTCTGCTTTAAATTCTAAAGAGAGTGATTGGAGTAACACAAATAGTAAGCACTTGGTTCCAATAACTATACAGACAGTATATATGGGTGTTACCTTTAAAACATATGACAATTAAGATGCTATATCTAACCCCATTTCTGGAAGCTAACCCAAGAAATGAGATACTGAAGGGAGCAAGTGCATTTTCAGTAAAGACCATAAAGCCCCCTCAATACTTGTGACTGAGCTGCATATACATATTCTCCAGAGCCAAACATTGCCCATCCAAAAGGAAAGACAGTGTGCTCCAGTTTTGCTGCACTTTCATCTTACTATCAAGGAACTGCAGCAGTTCTGAGACTGAGATCTGCTACTTTCTGCTTGAACAGGTTAACAGCAAGATACTGCATAAACAGTACATGGCTACTCAGGTTGGCATTGCAGTTACCTTCATTCCTTCTTCTTTCCCACTTGTAATTAGCTCATCTATTTTCTTCCTCTCCTCAGTCTGCAGAATAAACAAGAACAAACAAACCCACAATATTGTTGATAGTTTTTGTAGCTTATTCTATAGCTAAAAGGATATTATTAGCCAGTGACAGTCATTTTTCCAAACCATCCCATATTTCTGAATGGTAAAGAGACATATTTCTGCCCCCCCCCCCCAAGCAGCTGGATTCTGTCCTAGAAGAACTGGATCAGCATTTCCAAATTTTAAGGTTTTTCACAATACTTGCAGTGCACAATGCTATTTTTATTTGGCCAATGGCAACCATTTATAGATCGTTACACACTTCCTCAAACGTTCAATTAACCAGCAATGTTGTAAGTAATGTTATTTTAACAGGAAGCACTACCTCCAATTCGGATTTGCTCTTCCTGGAACTTCTTCTAACTGGGTAATAATCTGTCACTTTTCGATTTGGTGTTCTTCCTTGTGTTCTAAGGGATAAGAAAATAGAGAACACATGTATTTTAGGCCATTTGTGAAGTTACGCCTCTAGGACAGAGGTACCTCTAATAAATTTTTATTTTCAGCTTGGTGTGTTGAAAGGCAATCAATAATGAATCAGTGTTTCGTATCAGTACTCTTCACTTCAAGCCATAACCTACATCTCCTTTTCTTCCCCACGTTATTTTCATTACACTAGTACTAATTCTTTAACAATGAGATGCCATTGGAAACCAACTGAAGGTCACGTTACAAGTCTGAAGCCCCCTGCGTGTCTTGCCAGAAGGAACTCTAAAATTTAGGTTACAAAAACTGCTTGGTAAAGAATTCATTAACATTAGGTCATATTACTCCAATATCATGAGAAAGAATATCAAGCTCAGCCAGGAAGCCTCCAACTGTAATTAATCTGATACTCTATTTCTGACAAGATACATTCCCATTTGTCCACAGAAAAGTAGGTCTTAATCGCTCATTAATGTCTTTTTCTATAGGTGATCAGCAAGTATTTCACTTGAGATAAAATACATTAGCCTTGCTTTCAAGAAAAACAAGTCCTCTGCAAGGTAAGTAAATACTTTGGGTGCTATTTTGTATTTTCAAACATACAATACTTGAGAAAACAAAGAAGTCTCCTTTAAGATTTGTTCCCCCCAAGACAACCATGTACTTAAAAAAAAGGCAACAAAACAAGCATAACATTAACTACAGGTCTGACTCATTCCTGAAGGAAAAATGCAGATCAAAGCCTCCTGTGCAAAAGGACACACAGAAAAAAAACTTTCAGTTCCAGGAGTCACTTACTTTCTCCTTGGTCCACGTTTTGCTTTAACCATCTTTTTCTGAGCTGGCTTTGCATTGCCCTCATCAGCGCAGTCTGAAGACAAGGGTGTCTTTTGGGTTTCTACAGTTTCTTGGTTTTGATCAGAGGAGGGCACTGAAGTATTGCACCCACTTTCTTTATCTTTCTGATCTTCTGGTTTCATAGCACCTTCAATTATATTGCCACCATTCTTTTTTTCTGGTGACAGGAAAATAAAGTAAGGCTCTGAACTTAGGATCATCTATACCAGAGTGCTTTAAATGAATTCCAATGGTTTCTAGTCCAAGTTTCTAGTTCTGTCAAACAGGAGAAAGAGGAAGGGAATGATACAATCTCATTCTGCTAGAACCCAGATAAGCCGTTACTCAACTTTTGACTAGTCATTGCTATGGTACACATAGTACAGAGGGAGAGGTGAGAAGAGGTAAAACAGAGCCCAAGTACTTTGTCAGTTAGGTTTGTGAATCACGAGTTTTCCAAACCTGAACATGCAGCACCTTCAGTGCAGCATTTGAAACAGCAGCACAGTTTGCATCTGGCATGCTAAATTATCAAGTTCCCATAAGCTAATCAACATCCTGCGCTAAAGAGGGAGAGGAAGCCTCTCTGGATTCTGCACCACTGTGATCAGTAGCTGCAGACGCTGGTACCAAGTGGCCAACACCATTCAGACAAAATCCACAAGAGTTAAAGGGCTGAGACTTACAAAAAGTCTACCCGCCCCCTAAACCAACACTTTCTTGGTTGCATGCATCCTACCTTGGTATGACCACATCCTCCTTCTCAGCCAACTGATTTAGAGGTAGGCCAGCATGGCTTAAAGCTGAATAAAGTTTTTATTTAAAACAAATAACCAGGTTTAACAGTCCCATCTGCTGAGACAGATGCTTCAATCTCACTGGAGAAAATGAAGCACAGCTGCAAGGCCTCAGCAGTGGGACAAGTTAAAGCCATCTTCACTTGCTTGTCAAAACTGGGGAGCTAAATTAGGAGCTACAGGCCCTAAGTCTCCAGAAAACCTGACACTCCCTGTGTTGTGTGGGACTTAAAATACCTGCTTGCTAAAAGTGTTTGTATCAAAATGTTTCAACACATTACCAAGGTTATTAAATGCACCTTTAAACACAAGCCAGGGTTGGGGGTTTTTTTCCCCCTCCACAAACTTATTGAACATTACCATTTCTAGTCACTACAATGCAGCATCTATGAACCCTGGCACTCAGCATCCACAGTCTGTGCTTCTCCTTCTCACTGCCTTTGTTTCACCCTGAAAATTTAAGAATTGTTTCTTTTTCTATCAGTACCTCTACCTCATACCTTATTTGACTTTGAATTGCCTTTATATAAATTAGTACAAAGTAGTCAAATTATAGAAATAAACAGTTTTAGGTAATAAAACAGACCAACACCAATTAGATAGGCTGCCTAACACTGACCTGAAGAAACAGAGTAGGAATAGAACTGCAGGGAGATCAGGGCATTGATATCACAAGCTTTAACTTTTTGTATCTAGAGAGACAATACAAACACAGCCAGACACAAAAAAAAAAAAAAAATTGCCTGGTAAACCTGTGACCTAAGTTTTTCAAAGGATAAGGATGCCCTCATCTTTGTAGTCCCAGTTTGCCATTAGAGTTGTAGGACTGGGAAAGCAACTGGGCCTGGGGAGCTGCCTCTTGACTCCGTACTAAAGTTTTCAAATTGGGGGTGAGAGGAGCACATTTAATGAGGCAAGCAATCCAATAGATCAATCTTACCATCTCCTTTCCTGTAGGTTTCCTTTAGTGTTTTGCCCTGACATTTCACCTCGTGATACATGACAGAGTTTTCTTCTTGAAGCGGGGGGCGAGCACCAGGAGTTTTGTTAGGATTCAGGTAGCTGTAGATTTTGGATTGACCAATAAACACATTCTCCTAAAACAGACCCACACAAAAGTCACATCACAGAGATGCCAGGTACATCAAGTTGATATCCACAACACGCTGCAAAGACCAGGGCTGACAGTGCTAATGCAAATTACACTGCTTTAATGCATCATCCTTGCTGCTGTTGCTATTTCTACTAAATGAAAACGTAACAGCAGTAAGCACTCAAGTTTACTAATGCAAACTCTCAGTCCAAGAGGACTTTCATATGAAATGTGGCAGAACAAGGCAGTCATAACTAACCCCAGATTCCCCTGTGTGCTTCACAGTATGAACTCTGTTACTAAAAAAATAAGAACCCTGAGCTCCTCAGGAGGAAGGTAGCCTGAAAGAGTGCAAGCCAAAAAAAAAAAATCTGAATAGCACTGCAAAAATTGCACAAGCCTAGAACATACCTCTCATAGCCAGAGAGATATGAGCTTACCCAAACACTCTCTGAGGTGTCAAATGTTACTGACCTCTCATAGCCAGAGAGATATGAGCTTACCCACTCTCTGAGGTGTCAAATGTTACTACAGTTAATTATATGCTCTACTGTGCAACACAGAAGACAGGAATCAGTTTTGTACAGTCTACCTTGAGTGGCACCTCTCAGCAAAGTCTGGCAGATAAACAATGCTATCCTTTTATCCACTGTATTTCACAAAGTAAAATGTAAAGGTTGTTAAAGGCAAAAGAAACATTAAAGAGTCTGCACAAAGCACTTAATGCCCAGCCAGGAAAATGGTAAAACCCGCTGGCATGGTCAAACACTGCAAAGACCACGGTTTGTACGCTGGCTTGGGCTCAAAGAACATCAATGGTGAGCAGTATCAAATTTAGCAAAGTTTAGTGGGGTCGTGCCACCTTTGCAGTCTCCTGCAAACTCGCCAAGTTTGACTATGCGGTGCACGTAGGGCACACAGATTTCAACTGTGAAATCTCAGTGTCTGGACAAGCAGATACAACTTGGCCAGAATGAGTTTGTCTTGGCTGTATTTTGATTCAACTAAAAAGCAATTTTCAGACACTGCAAGCCAGTTAAAACAATAAAAACATGCATCCATTTTTTAGAAAAGCACACAAAGGTTTCCATTAGTTAAAAAACAGCTCAAATATAGCTGACTAAACAAATACTCCATGCAGTCACACAAACACTAAAAAAATAAACAAAGCACACAATCGAATACATAGGATAATTTTAATAATTAGCATAATCATGAGTAACAAACTTCATGTGTACATAATTCACACACAAAATAAGACCAGTTAAAGGCTCAAATCTCAGTCCACAAGTAAACTTTACTAAAAGATCAAGATTACAATAGAACAGCCTGAAAAAAAGCAAGTCAGTTGGACACCACGCCATGACCCCCAGTATTTCCGAAAGGCCTATCAAAGACAAGATTTATTTAAAAAAACCTGGGGGTTTTAAGGATGAAATACTAAGAAAACACTCATTTTTAACAACTGCAAGCAGCAAACCCTGCACTGCAAAGTCCTCAAGGTTTAGTGAAGAGTTTAAATGTGGGCATTTCCGGAGAAAGCCAGAAGCAGTGAACTGCAGCTGTCCACCTGTCAGCAGAGCTTTCTGGCTTTCAATACACCATTAACAGGAAACGAACAACTATTTTTCCAGTGTAGCTTCCTCCCCTCATTCCCAGCTCCCTGCCTGCTGCGCTCTTGGCGCTACCGAGACACTACTGCCACGTCTTTGTCTGTGCCAGGCTTAAGACCCTCGGGAACAGAGATTTTTCTCAGCAGAACACAGCACATGAAAGGCTGCTGAGGAGCTCTGGGACTTGATGCGATAGCTGCAATTATTTCTAGGGGGGGTTAAATGCAAAGTGACGATCAACCTCCGGCCAACTGCCTCTAACAGAGCTAGAAGACAGGGAAGATGGCACGGAGGGATTGCCGAGGCTGGGGCCTGGCTGCGCGCTGACAGCCCCGGCAGCGCCCCGCGCCTGCAGGGCAGCTGTGCAGCAGGGCACGGGGAAACACGGGAGGGGTCCAATTCCACTTAAAGTTAATTGATTTCCGAATGATTCGAGGAGCCCCAGAAGCCAGGCGCCCGGGGCCACGCGACTCTCCGGGGCAGCCCGCACGCCGTCTCGCTCGCACCGCGGGGGGAAGCGGAGGACGCAGCAGACCCCGGG